TGAGATTTTCAGAGCAGTGGCTTCTCCCTTTCAATGTTATGGTATCACAGCAGGCCTCCTGTTAATAGAAGCACCACTGTGACAGATAGTGGACCAAGAGAAATGCTAGCTGCAGTGTAAGCAGTAATTGCTTACTGCTGTTACTGTCTCACCTCTGAGTCCCCACCCTCTACAGCTCATATGGGTGCTCCAGGCCCACTGCGCAAAAGAGCTTTGTCAGGAGACCTGGGAGAAGACATCACTAGTCACAGTCTCACTTTCAGTCCTGAGACCTCCCCAGCACCGAGCACCAATTTACAGTGGCAACATCAAGGCCGTTCCCGGATTTTATTGGGAGTACCTGGATTACTCATCGCAAACTCAAAAGGGAGCATGAGGAAGAACATGCACACTTCACACAGCCAGGTGCATAAAGTCAGAATCGACCCCTGGAGATGTACATCTACTGTCACATCAACTACCAAGCCACTCTGCTGGCCATGACAGGTTATGTTCGGTACAGGAGGATAATGATGACGCATGCCCTGTTAACACGGATAACATCTGGACAGTGTTTTTGCAATCTCCCACGTTATTTACATGCTTATACCAGGGGCTTTTCTTTGCTCTGACATAGATGTACATTCCTTACAATACATTTCTATTATTTACGGCATTTTAGCATGATTTATTGTTACTGCACCTCACTCTGCCTTCACCACGGAGTGCCAGAGTTATTTTATACAGGAGAGTGTCGTGGGCGTGACTGCAGTTCCCCTGGCAGGACCCTTGCCTCGGGATAGATTGCTGTCATCTGAGCCCCCAGAAGCATGTGAGAGCTGGGAGGCTCGCTGTATCGTCCCAGGCAGATCAGTAACGCTCGTGCCCCGCACCACGGGTATAAATAGAGCTTCAGGGGGTATCAGTGCTGGAGCACAGCGATGGTCACCAGCAGTAAATGGGGCATTAATCCAACTGGTTAATCTGGAAGGGTTCGTGTGAGGGCAGGCAGGACAGCCAGCTGTGGTCTACGAAATGTTTCCTAAATCTGCGATCATCGCGATTACAAGATAAACTTCTGGTAACTGCCGGGTCACCATCCAGTGGTTTCCAGGTGTGAAATACCAGGATTCAGCTCGGAAGAGTCTGTAAAAATAAGATCAGCTAGAAGCAGGCTGAAGTCCAAGTGACAAAAGTGCTTTGGTTTTCTGTCATATTTCACAACACACACAGACCTTGGGAATGTGTTGCATTTAATTTGCTTACTTGTCCATTTATTTGTTTCATGATGAATTACAGTCCGTGTCCTGTTGCCAATTATGCTAGTGCTAAAAAGGAACAGAGTCTTTTATACCAGCCAGCTTTGCCAGCTTTCCCACAGGCTCTGTAAGTCTTGCTCAGTGATGTGATGGGTAGTGGTGATTCTTGAATGATGTTAGGATTAATGTATTTCATGTATTTCTGAATAAAGTATCACATTTTTTGTCATAAACCTCAAGGTATAACAATAATGGTTAAATCATAGGATTATTATGATTATTCATGTTTTTGTCTATTTAAATGTTTATGATCATCATTATTGGCTGATTACTGATTGCAGTAGTGATAACTGATTTCAGTGCTTCGTTTCCTATGATTAAATAATAAAGGTTTGATGTAAGTCTATGTAGTGGGGATCTCTGTTCTCTAAGTTGCTAGCATGTCTGTTTTAATCATATCATAAGGCCGTACTGTAAATAAGTCCGGTGATCTATGACAGCCCTCACTGGAGCATGTGGCACACACCTGCCTCTGCGTTCACTGCTCCAGGTTTGCGCCTGGTTGACAGGGAGGGAGCAGTCCAAAGTCTTCAGACACGTCACCATCAGCTCCGGCTGGGGCTGGAAATGGCTGCTGTTGCTGCCGAGTGGCAGGGCCTTTGGATAATCAAGGGCTTCTTTTCAGCCAGCGGCTCGTGTGATGAAGTGCAGTTTGCCCCGGCATGGAGCTTCCAGAGTTCTAGACTGTGCAGGCTTCTCTTAAGATTGATCAGCACTCCCATGGTATAATACGCGTTTAAACAAATCAGATGACTATACTTTACTGCGGTGTTATGTCATCTTGCATTTTATAATAATTCTTTACATTTATATAGTGTTTTTTCTGGACACTCCACTCAAAGAGCTGGTTTACAGGTAATGGGAACTCCCCGCCACCACCACCACCACCACCACCACCAGTGTGTAGCCCCACCTGGGTGATGCGACAGCAGGCAAAATGCACCAGTACGCTCCCACACACCACCTCTACATCCCAATCAAAGGATGGCACCTATTTTCTTTCCAGTATAGTGTCCCCGTCACTATACTGGGGCATTAGGACCCATACAGACTGCAGGCCCCACTAACACCTCTCACAGCAGAAACCTTAGTTTTTCCCAGGAGGTCTCCCATCCAGGTACTGACCAGGCTCCCACCTGCTGAGCTTCAGTGGGCTGCCAGTTGTGAGTTGCAAGATGATATAGCTGCTGACGTTTAAGGTGTTATGGACATTCTGTACTTGCAGAGAACTCCTCCCTGCCTTGGAAAGTAGCTGGACACAAAAATTAGATAAGCCAAAGGCAGGACAAAATCAAGTTCTATACTTGTAAGAACATTAGACAGTAGTTCTAGTAGGGGGCTGGGTCAGCATGCGAAGGCTGCAAAGGAACAAGTAAAGCTTTATTCCATGCTGAAAAGAGACTCAATGTTTCGGCTCTGGAGTCTTCTTCACATCCAAGGAAGGCTCCACAGCTGAAACTTTGGGTTTCTTTTCTTCTCTTTTCAGCATGGAATACACCTTTACTTGTTCCAGATCATCAGACATAACATCTAAAATAGGAATGTCCCGATAAAACTGGTTTTGACCTAAAAAAACCAGAGCACTTACAAAAAAAAAGTGCATTTTGTCTGGGGAATGAGATTTTATTTCAAAATATCTCAGAATGATTTGAACAATACATGTTGCCAATATAATACAAATATAATAAAGATGTTGCTGTTGGTACGAGTTGCTGATAATTCTGCATCTCCTGATGATCTCAAATAATACTGTGTGTGGTATCAGAGTTAGTGAACAGTGGTGTCTGAGAAACTGGAATCCCCAATTTACTCACTGGGTTTTAATGGAATGTTTGTTCAACACGAACAAATGGACAACTATGGTTTTAACTGTAGTAAACCAACAACAACAAAAAAAAGAAATGCACTTAAAAAACATGCATTTCATTTTATTTAAATAAACATCTCAAAATAAAAAAATGGAGATATACATTTTTAGCAACTGAAAAAAAAAACATCCCACTTGTATTGCACATTGCAAACACATTCAGACAGATTTTAAGCCAGGCTTTAAAAATCATTCATATAAATAAGATAAAAAACTGGGTGTCTCTGGTTTTCATCATAAAACCATTTTTAAGAAATCATATATACATATGTATATGTTTTGAATAATAAATTAAACACCTAAAGAAATAAATAATTAGCACATAAGATTATTGGAAAATGAGGTCTGTGACACAGGTTATGCAGTAGATGTCCAACAGAAAAAGTGGACAAATTGAAACTGAAGACCAGCTCTTCAGCCCAGTGTGTTTCTGGGAAGGTTGGCAGGGGGCGGTCCTGCTGGAGGGGGTCAGAGTTCACACCGACATCCGTCTCAAGGCCCCCTTCTCCTCCTTGTCCCGAACTGCGACCTGTGGGCCGTACAGTTTGGCGGCCTGTCCCTCGAAGGCGCTGACCATCTGCTTCACCACGTCCTCGAAAAACACAGTGGCCAGCTGGGAATGCAGCAGCGACTTGAACTCAAACAACACCTTGAAGTGAAGAGAGGGGAGGAAAAAAAAGAATTAAAGCTCATCGGTTATACGAAAAATGCCATCCACCCATTTTCTAACCTCTTTATCCAACACAGGGTCACGGGGAAGCCGAAACCTATCCCAGCAAGCAACGGGCGCAAGGCAGAATACACCCTGGACAGGACACAAGTCCATTGCAGGGCACATACAGGCACAAACACTCACACCAGGGCTATTTAACCTAACAGTATGTCTTTGGACTGTGGGAAGAAACTTCCACAAACGCAGTAAGAACATACAAACTCCACACAGACAGCACCCCAGGTCTGAAACTGAACCCAGGGCCCCAGCGCTTCGAGGCAGCAGTGCCAACCACCATGCTACTACAGCATATTAGAGATTGAACACTTACAGAAAACTCCACATTGCAGGTGTCTGGTTGACTGGAGGCACCTGGGAAAAATCGCCACACTGTCTCCAGGTGACTGAAGAGAGAGCTGTCTGTGCACACGGCCTGCAACACAAACATGGCCCTGTCACTGCTGGCACAATGTTCACACCATTCACAGTCACACTCCCAGGAAATACTGGCGCAGAAAAGGGCTTTAATTACATACCCCAGGCAAGGTCTGTCAGCCCGTTTAACTAATGGCGCTACTTAAGTGCACCAAATGGTTGTTGTGCAACAGGAATAATGGTTACAGAGAGTCAAGGCTCTCTGCAATCTCATCAACTACTGTTAGCTTTACAATTAGCAGGAAATGAGTTCTGATTCAACCTTTCCCATATGTATGTCTTTGGCTTTGTGCACTTTCTTTTGTGCAAACTCTTCCGAGGGCAATTTCCTGCCAATTACTACACAGCCTTTCGTAGGGCACCGTTCAAGGAAAAAAGCTGGCAGCAGTGTACACTGTCTTTTGGGTTTTGTCGGGAGAGAGTTTTTAAAGAAGGAGTGGAAGCTCACCCTGATTTGATGGTTGGGAACAAACATGACTTCAGAGGTGTATCTCTCCATCAGTGGGGGGAAGCCGATCTCCAATTGCGCTCTTAGGCTTCCACTGTGCCTATTAATGACCTTTGAACTCTTGCACCAGGGCACAAACTGCTGGTACTGGTCCACGCAGGCCACCAGATTATACATCTGCTCGGGGGTATATCTGCACAAAGCAAGGGAAAATCAGAGGGCACCTTAGCTTGGACATGCTTCACAGTGACACAAAAAAACGATTGAACAATTTCCCACTAAGCCTTTCCTTTGCACTACAAATCTCACAAAATATGGTTTGGCTAAGAAACACAACTCCGCTGCAAATAATAACATTAGTTGGAAGCGCATGGCTTCTATTCTGAGCCTCACTTGGAGCAGACCCAAACATAACAAGAACTCTCACTGACACTGAGCAATTTTGTTCAACAAGCAAAGATTTTAACCTCTGGGGACTTCCAGCAGAACAGAAACAACCTCAGTTAAAGAAGATGCAGGGTCATATCATTCCAAGAAACTAGCCGATTTTAAGAACACTCTGCCGTGGACAGCCTGTTTCACATGTCCAGGGGAGAGGAACTTAACATGAACCTTCACTTCCTTTCATGTGAAAAATACCAACAAAGAACCAAAAACAAATCTGAATGTTTCTTCTTTCTGCCAGCAACCGGCAATCGCCCAAAATAAAACGTTTTGCTTCAGCACAACAAGGACACACTTCCTCAAGGAGAACACAGACAACCCCCGGGCCTTGATCTCCAGAAGACCTGAGAGCCCTAGGAAGTGTTTGCCCTTCGCTTCCTGCCCACTGATGCAAACTGACGTCTCCTGGGCTTGGACACCCTGTCCCTGAAGCTGGAGCTCCTGTGCTCTTTGCCAGCCCTGCTCACATGTTTTCTATATAGAGCTGTTCCGGTTTCTTTGCATAGTTCAGCAGGACCTACCGCAGCAGCCTGGATTCGGAGTACTCTATCCGGCGGGCCAACAGGGGAGCGGCCAGGTTCAGGAAGGTCCTGCAGGGTGGGCTACCCGCCACGCCCCCCGAGGGGAGGGGCAGCTTAGCACGGCAGCTGGCCAGGATGCCACAGGAGCCCAGGTGCCTGTGGAAGGATGGAAAAGAACTGCAATGTTAGGGCACAGTGCGAGGGCTAATTCCGGGGGAATGGAGAATTCCTGTGCAGCGTCACTAACACCAACAGCATCACCAGGTTCCACCAGCTGTATCAGATGGGTCTATGGAGTGAACACACTGCCCAGCTCCTCCGTCAATACCTCCACATGCACCAGCTGTCTGAATCCCAATCCCACACTTTGTTCCCCGCTGTTTCTAAGCAGAGCTGTGGGATTACCGCACCAGCAATCAGGAGTCCCTCACTGTTTCCCATGGGAATACTGCACCAGCTATCAGGAGTCCCTCACTGTTTCCCATGGGAATACTGCACCAGCTATCAGG